CGTGACCCGGTCCGCCGAACAGCCGGCTGTGGCCCCGATCAGCCCGTGGCACTCCGAGGCAATGTCGTTCTGGGACATTCCAGGCATCAAGGCCGGCGTGGTCTTGGCCTCGCCAGTCCGTAGCCTTGCGGCCTTGCATGCAGCTTGAAAGCCGTCCTGGTTATACGTATCGGGTCACTTAGCGACCGAGTGCCACATGTGCACAGCTAACTGTTACTGAAATTTCGCCGTCCAAGGTCACCGGCGATGTTGCATGGGCGCTGCTTCAACATGCAAAGGCCAGGTTGTGAAAGTGGGTGGTTCACTGTCGCTTGACCTGCTGGGAAAAAAACGCTGACTCGTGCCTGCATGTCGCAAATCGCTAGGAGCACCAGTATGCCATCCCCGCCTTCAACTGCACAAGCCTGGACCATACCCGCTGTAAGCCGTGCCAGCACAAAGTCGTGAGGGTCGTGGAGCTAAGGCACTAGCACCATCAATTCTGTTCTGGAAGCCGGGGCGAGCCTCAACAGGCCCAGAGCCGACGCGCGCCTAAGTTTTTCGGACGAGCAGACGAGTGCCAGGCCGGTCATGATCCAATTCTCGGAGGGTGGCTCTGCTTTCTTGGCGGGCAAATCGCTGCCCAACGAGAAGGGCAAGCTGCAGGTCTTGCCATGCAAAGTGTCGACGTTTCGTGCAGTCCTTGGGATTATGCAGCTGAGTGCATGCAAGGCGTCCATTCTTGGTGCTGTTGCTGGCGCACATTTCGCCAGAGACTTCAAGATGTGAAGCCTCTCTGATGTAGACTGTAAGTGAACAGGGCATCTTCGAGAAGCCAATTCTTCTGGGTTCATGCCTCATGCCTCACGTGATGCTGCTTCACCACCAGGTTTCAACCACAGGGGTTCAAGGACTGAGGCACTAAACGTGCTGTGCAGCGCACATGCCGGATGAGCCATTGCGATTACTTAGTCTGGCTGTGCTTAGTTTGCATCTGATGCTTGGAGTCGCGGTTGCACTTCGATTTGCATTCGTTTTTCCCATCATTGCTTTTGCCGATACTGTCTGTTTCCTTTGATTCCCAGTTGTAGCTCATGGACAGTGTCACGAGCTCAGCAGAGCTGCAGTGTTCCAGCAGAGCTAGTGACATGATTAGGTGTGCTGTCGAGCGCGCTTCCGTTTACCAAGTGGCCTGTGTTCTGAAGCAATGCTGGGACGCGGGCGTGGCCACGGCATAGAGAGAACCTAGTTTAATCCGGTGGGGTAGGGCAGCAGCCCACATCAACCTTCTCACGACGCGTGGTGTTCTTTCTTCGCGATTCCGACCGAGTTTTCTGTAAGGCCGCATGCCTTGCCGAGGGTCGGACATCAGGTTTCGAGTAGCTGCAGGCAGAGGCATACACACCATGCGCGAGATGTCATGAGACTTCGCAAGGTCCGTGCTGTGGCTCCTGCTTACGGCATCCCGGTGTCCTGGCCTTGGCATTCATGATCGGTTGTTGATGTGGGAAAGCATCCAAGCGCGGAACTCTTGGTGCTTCTTGAGAGGATTGTTCATTCCGACCACTGTGTGCAATCCTCAGTGACGTGGAGCTCGTCAGTCATTGCAGGAGGCTCCCATCCTTGTCTGGCGAGGCGAAGAAACTGCTTCCGTGGTTCGATGGTATGCTGGAGGCAGTATCTTCATATCTTCCAGCCCAAAGCTTGAAGCTGCTGGCATCCCTGGAAAGGCCGACGAGGCCTTCTTCAAGGCTCACGGAGAACCCTTGTTCTCGTCGCACATGCATGCTCCCCAGGAGCATGGAGTTCAGGTAGCGCACGCTGCATGGTGGGAAATCTAAACCGAGGTTGGATCTTTCTGAGGAGCCTGATGAAGAGAACATCGAGCCGGATCCCATAGCCTCTGTTGTTGCAGGCCAGTACAGTGCCGGTGTTACCTTGCACGGCCTGCCAAGGATCTGCAAGAAATACCTGACCCG